AGTGCGCAGCTCGCCCCGGCCCCCACCCAAGCTGCCTCTGCCACAAGATCCCAGAGGCTCGGGAGCTGCCCCCTGCCCTGCCCTGCTGTGTGCCCTTCCAGCGCAGCTGGGGCTGGTCTCCATGACAACCCCAGCCTTGCACTATCACAGTGCAGCTGTGACTGGGGTCTCCATGGAGCCTGGCCTCAGCCATGCGGGCAGGGGCTACTGGGAAATGGAGTCCACTGCCAGCCAGATCTGGCCCGTGAGTTGGATTTTGCTCACTCCTACTCTACACTTGCTAAGAAACCCATGCCTGTAATAACCAAGCTTTTAGCAATCAGCTGGTCATGCAATACCTTTTAGCAAACCTTTTTGTTACATTTACTTGACCATGGCTAGAGTTACATCACACTGAAGTTGGGAGATGTAACCATCCCCCTTCACACTCAGGAGGAATGCAAGAAAGAGAAAAGCTCCTTTTGTGGAAGAGGTATTAGAAACAATAGCAGTCACCACCCAAAGTACAGACCAGGATGGTCAGAAATCTGTGCTATGTGAGCAGAGGGATTTCTAAGTATTTTTTTGAGGGGGAAATATGGTGTGTGAAACAGAACAGCAGAAGAAACAAACTGAGAAATAGCTAGGGAGCCCAGATACACCTAGAGAAATACTAGTGGCACAATCCTGAGGAACACTGTTTTATGTATTTTTTTTTCCAATAAAACAGATTGAATCACACTCTGTCCACATTCCCCTCCTATTTTGCATTTTGGCTAATTATCCAGGTCATAAAGGGTCACAGAGGGCATATAATGATTTTTTGTTGCCATAAAGTTGTTCCTTCTTTTCATAATTTTGACTCTCTGTGGTTAAAGTACAGCTACTCCTTGCTTAACATCGTAGTTACGTTGTTGAAAAATGTGGCTTTTAGCAAAATGATGTTAAGCGAATCCAATTACATCACAGTAGTTAGGTACTAGTAGGTGGCAGGCAAACAAGGTTATGACCAAACATTGCACGACTTTAAACAAGTATGTTCTCTAATAGATCAGCGACGTAAAAACGAAACAACGTTAACCTGGACGACGTTAAGTGAGGAGTACCTGTATCTCATTAGGTATCTCACTGTATATCAATTAGTTCATCGAGGGCAGGCATTTTATCCTGCTTGTACCCTTTAGTCTAGTTCCACAGGTGGTAAAATCAGCCTGCAAAGCTGTGGGAGTAACAGATGGAAAATAAACATAGTTGCAGAAAATATTTCTGTTCCCAGTTCTATACCATAAATAAAGAGTCAAATGTGTAACAGACAACTGGAATAGATTTAAAACATATACATCAACAGTAAAACTAACAATCATTTTAGGTTAAAAAAAATTCCAAAAATAACCAAATAACATGACTTGCAATATTGCTTTTTCTTTCTTTTTTTTTTAATAAGCAAAAGATGCTTTAAGGCTGCTGTTGCATCTTTTTCTAGGAATTCTTTTGGAAACTATGTCCTAATATCCTTGCAACCACAAGTGGCCAGCACAATGATCCACATTTGCATATTAAATATAAACTTTCCTCCATCAAAGAGTTCTTCTCACCAACTTGCCTAGAGGCATTTTGCCAAGTGCTAGCAGACAGGTTCTTGAAACGTAAGTATTGTATTATTCTTTCCCTTCTACGCAGTTCTGAACAAAAGAGCTGGGCAGAAATCTGATTTCTCACTTTGTGATAAATTCTACATTTTCAAAACTTTTCTTATGCTGAAATGAGACAAAAACAGATATTTGAAGCTGCCCAGGGAAAAAAATGTTATAGTCAACTGAAACATTTCACTGAGATAAAATATAAATATTTTCTTCCAATGTACATTTTTGAACATTCATTTACTGTTTTATGTGGAATCAATGAAATAATAGTGTCATATGGAATAAAACATCAAGCGCAAAATAACATAAAAATGGAAAATTCAAACTCTCCATTTCAGAAAGTGCTCTAGGAAATATTTTGACCTTACTGAATTGGGATCTTTTTATTTTTTCTTTTGAAGCAAATTTAACCAAAATCAATACATTTCTGACACATTTAGCTTTCAGTGAATTGGCATTTTCCAGTGGAATAATCCTTTTATCAGATCATTTCCAATCCCTCAATTGTAAAGGAACAATTTTTGTCTTCAGAATGCAGGAGCATTAAAAAACTGATTGTGCCAGACATAAATAGAATACTTTACAAAAACTATTTTTATTAAAGCATAGATGATTTGGCATTTTGTTTAGTGAACTGTCCAATATAACATGTTCTTAGTGTAGATCGTTTTTATCTGGAAATGTTTACAATGCTTCTGTTTTTTATTTGTCCCATGCCTAGTGTAATTCGTCCTAGTCTCTAAGCACTAAAGTAATACAAATAATAAACTATAATATTATTTATACAAATAATAAACTAATAATATCATAAACATTTAAGGGGACTATAACCGAACTAAAAATCCACTGCAGTTTATTTTGAGGATGCTTAATAAAACTATATTAACAGGCTATATTAACAGGCAAGTCAATAAAATGCATTCCAGACATCTGCTTTTAAATGGCTTTATGCTGTCACTAACATTTTTATCCTCCATTTTTAAAATTCTATTTATGTATATAACTGTGTTTCCAATAGATTATTATTCCTGTAGTTTAATTAATAATGTTTTAGACAGAGAAATCATTTTCAACAGACCCTTATGCTGCACATACATTAAGCAAAATACTTGTACAAAGAAATCACTAGGACTCGGATTCATTCTTTGACCCTGACAAGAATAAATGATTGGCCGTGCATACCTTTAATTAAAGAGCTTATGTAAAGTAATTAAAGTAAGGCATCACAACAGCGGCACTTAATGCTGATCCTGCCTTAATCTATTTTTATATGTTTGTCAAGTAAAAGTATCTGACACTGTAAACATGCAATTTCTTGAGCCTAATTTTATAGATATTTATATGCTAACAAAAGGACTATATTATTTTCTTGGAATTACAATGTAATGAGTAGGAATAAGGCTATGAACAAAAAATACAATATTTATTTAGAAAAAGGGTATCAAATAGCTCTTCACATCATGGGGCAGGAAATTTGTCCTTTCATGAAACTTGTAAAGTGTCTTTATCCCAGTGACACCAAGAGAAATGCTACTTGAGTTAAGATTTCAGCAGCTGGTCCAAAATAGTCCAATAAATGCAACGTATAGCAATGTAGCAAGTCAAACAAAAATAATTAAATATTAACACAAGCAAATAACAAACAGTACCTATATGTAGGAATATGTACCACAGTATAAATACTTATGTAATGAAAAAAGCAAGCTCCACTTCACCATTTGTTTTCTCTTTTATGCCCATGCACCCTGTTCTCACAGAAGAGAAACAAGCAGCTAAGTTAACCTAAAAGTGTAAATAACCCAGGGTCTTAAAGGTGTGTACTTACACTTGAGCGTTCTTTAAGGTTTTTTAGAGCAGGACCAGGCAGGTGGCATGATCTTATGCTACCAGGCAGACTGACAAATAGAGTGTGTATTTGATTCCCAGTGCTCCAACGCTAGTTGAAAGTTTCAATGTCATTTCTCAGGCCTGATCATACTACTGCATGCCTTTTAAGAGAGACTATTTCATTACAAGCAGCTGATGCCTCTTCCCAGGAAAACCATGGTAAGACACTGTTGATATGTTTTTGTGATAAGAAGCCAGATTTTACTTGCATAGAAATCCATGGGAATTTTCCCATGGATCTCAGAGGGAGCAAGGGTTGCACTTAGGTTTTCATGCGAAGGCACTGGATTGCTATTAAAGCCCTTTAAACATGTTTAAATGCTTTTCTAAGTATGCATGGAGGTCCTCAAATGAATATAGTTCAATAGAAATGATTTGCTGAACAAAGGCACTGATCCATAAAGAACCTATAGAGATTTTGATGTGATATCAATGAGAAAACTAGGCAAATGGGGCAGACAAAATGGAAACAGTCAATGGAAAAAACTCTGGTTTCTGTTATGACATGGATCACATGTGAGTGTTCATATAAAACTGAGAATCCTTATAGTCCGTCCTTACAGGTAAGAATCTAAATGCATCTAGTCTAGTGAGTTGTAATAAGCGATGTCTAACACTGCATTTTTTTCAAGGGAAACAATTAACAAATCCATCATTTTGTGAATCTGATCTCAATTTTTGGAAAGAGTTCCACATAGACAGATAGCTGTACTTGCAAAGAGGCTGGTTGTGTTTGATGGTGCTCCTCCTAGCCAAAAGGGGCACAAGGGCTTGACCAGTTAACTTCTGTGCCCATTTTATTCTTGACTTTTCCGCTGAGACTACAGTTGCGTCTCTGATTACAGTGAGCTTTAACTCAGTCACTGAGATATGTAGCTACTTAATTAGTACTGTTTCAGTATGTTCTACACTTAGGCTCAAATCCAGCTCCTCCTTAAGCAGAGTTAAAGAGCTAACTTTAGCTGCATAAATGGCATTTTGGCCCATGTATAGATTTCAGATCCTCCTACTCCTGTGCAATTCACCTCTCCCTTCTGAGCATGGGAAGGGATCCACTCTGGCCACTTAAATGCTCTGTTGTGATCCTACTCCCCTAAGGTGTGTCATTTGTATGTAAGTACCTGTTAATTACAGAGGCCAGGGCCAGGTGTCACCTTTGTGCCACCATAAAAATTGTTATGACAGCACAAAGACCAAGCAAATGGACGTCCATGCCCGTTGTTGCTCCACAAATGCCCACAATTTCTGACTGTGACATAAATGGCATAAATTAGTGCTGCTTTTTTGTGGCAGATGTTGACTAGTGACCACAAGACGATTAAGTTCAAGATCCTGAGGAAAGGAAGGATGGAGAGCAGCAAAGTAAGCACCCTGCATTTCAGAAAAGCAGACTTCAACTCACTCAAGGAACTCATGAGCAGGATGCCCTGGGAAGCCAGTCTGAAGGGGAGAGGAGCCCAGGAGAGCTGGCTGTACTTTAAAGAAGCCTTACTGAGAGTGCAGGAACAAACCATCCCAATACACAGAAAGACTAGCAAGTATGGCAGAAGACCAGCTTGGCTTAGCAGGAACTCTTCAGTAAACGAAATAACAAAAAAAAAAGCTTATAAAAAGTAGAAACTTGGACAAATAACTAGGGAAGAATATAAGAACATTGCTTGGGCATGCAGGGATGAAGTCAGGAAGGCCAAAGCAAAATAGGAGTTGAAGTTAGAAAGGGATGTGAAGGGTATCGAGAAGGGTTTCTACAAGTATGTCAGTAGCAAGAAGAAGATCAGGAAAGGTGCGGGTCTCTTTCTGAATGGGGGAGGCAACCTAGTGACAGAGGATGCAGAAAAGGCTGAAATGCTCAATGCCCTTTTCACCTCAGTCTTCACGGGCAAGGCCAGCTCCCAGACTGTTGGCTACAAATGTCCAACTCGTGATCCTTAAAATTCTGGTTTATTAGGCGGATTGAAACACTGTAATGAGTTAAATCATAAACCTTGGGGCTGGTCCTTCCACACACACACACAGTAGCAAGCTACAAGAGTCAGGTATACCTATCCCACAGGTGCTGGAGTCTGCTGTTGAGGCTTCTTTCAGCGTGGTGTTATCTTCCAGAAGGGGGTCGCCGGCTGGTCCCTCTGGCTGGACAGGTCGGGTGCTGGTCAAGTTGGAGATCAAGAGGGTGCCGCTGAGGGTCACTTTTCACTGCTTTTTATCTGTCCTTGGCAGACTTTGGTGACTCCCCAGTTTTCAGGTTTGCCCAATCCAGGGGTC